ATAGCATGCATGGATGTAGATATCATTACTATTATCATATGAAGCACAGTTTGCAACATTTGTAACATTTACATGTTTCAAAATCATCCCCGTTCAGCCTTCAAAGCATCGTGTCACCCATCAAAGACGACACTTGTTTCTGTTTTTACATAAAGCACGTTTGAAATAATCAGATCGTCCGTGTTGTTTCGATTCAGGTGGAGATTCAGAAGCTGCGTCTCTACTGTGATCCCCATCAGAGCGAGAGAGAAACAGCTTGTGAAATCTACTCCGTCGTAAGATCTCTGCTCTCACTCTCTCTTCGTTTCCACTTCAAAGGCTTTGTAGTTGAAAGGCTGCGTATGGCTGCGTGTATGAGCCTGCGATGACGATAACCATTATGTTTTTTCTCTTGTTTCTCCCGATACGCAGGATGATGAAAGGGTAAGGGTGAATTCACACATATTTAATCTGAGGTCGCTAATAATCACCACTGAGGTGTTGTCAGGGTAATCCGTTTGTGACCCACTCTGTTAATTTAATTGTGTATGTGTATCTTCAGTGCCCTCTGAATAGAAGCGCCACAGTGGAAGAAGAAGACTGCGATTGTGTAGTCGGCCCACCAGGACCCACGGTAACACACACAAAGACCTACATTTGATAGATTACATGTCTGTTTCCTTTCCAGGCTCTGATGTCCAAATATACAACTGATCCCTGTTGCTCAACAAAGAGTGAGCTGATGAGTGTGATTCATCATCATTCTCATTTAGCAGCTTGGTTATTCTTTGATTTTGATGCTCACATATAGAACGTGCTGCAACATTCTTTGTTGCTTTTTTGATGCTATAATAATCAGTTCTTTACTGCATCATTATATTGGAGGTCATTACACACCCATCTAACATGGTATATGCTACAAGAGACCACAACATGCCAATTGGAAACTAGGAAACTGCTCGTTTATTTGATGTGGATTTGGAGCCTCATTCAAAAAACATACATATCAAGACTTGACTCCTCTACTAATTACCTCTAATGATGTGTGGTTGTGATGACTCCCAGTTAATGAGTCACAATAGTATTTGTTTGGTAAGGAAAGTGCTGGAAAGTGTCCACGATGTAGACAGCAGTACAACTTGTTATGTTTTCTGAAAAGTCTCCATCGTGTCTGCAGCCAAAGCCATGTACAGTCACGTTAGGAACATTAAGGTTTCTGATTTACAAGGATTTGAAAAATGAATTCATGAAAGATATTTGCAGCCCAAAGATCCCTGGTTCAAGTCGCACCGTTTCAGGGGGTCGTGAGCCGGTGACCTCCCAGTGCCAGTCCAAAACCCAGATGGGACGGTCGCATCAGGAAACCAGTCGGTGTAAAATCATACCTGTGATTCCATCCACTGTGGCGGAGCATCTGAAAGTAGTTTCCATTAAATGTTATGGGATCAGTTGTTCCAAATTTGAAGGCAGTTCATTGTCAATATTCTGGGACGGTTGAAGCGATGGGCAGCCACAGCCTTGGTATTCATAGAGCCAATGGCATAGCTGCTGTTGTGTCTTAATGTAAGAAGAAAGTTTCTGATTGGAATATTTTTATATTACAGGGTTCACCAGGTGAGAAAGGGACACATGGGCCACGAGGGCCTGAAGGCGAGCCTGTAAGTACGGATAACATTTTTCATTCTGTTTTATCTTTGGATGCATGTTTGAACATGATGCAATTGTTCTCAGGGTAAAGAAGGAAATCCTGGTGATCCTGGCCCCCAGGGATTTCCAGGGATGAAGGTATAAGGAAACACCACGATAATACCTTTGAATAGACGCATTTCACTTCTCTGTTTCTGTGTGAGTTGTACAGAGCTGCA